ATGAGTGATGTGTTGTAAGGTATTAACATTTTGAAGCAGCAAATACTCACGTTTTGTTTTTTTTTGTTTTTGTTTTTTGCTTGTTTTTGAACTTTTGGGGTATCCACAAATGTCAGTATTGTTGTTATATATTGTTTAAATAGGTTGTGGAATAAAAAGATTTTCCTATGAATGCTGTTGGTTACTGTTGGGCTTACGTTGCTTGCTTTCTGATGAAAAGCAAGAAGAAACCAGGGCTCTCACTGGTGTTGAATTTATATAGATCTTTCTATCATGTTCTGGTGTCTTCCTAAGACCTCAATGCACACACGAACTATTTCCACCCATTCCATAATTTCCAGTATGCAAATGACGCAAGTGTCGCTTATTCGTCTCCCTTCACCACCTAGTGGTATCGTACTTCACAGCTGTGTGATGAGTGGAAATTTTCCTAGTGTGCACGGGGCCAAGTCTAGATTCTAAATGACATTATTTCAGGTAAGAGTTCGGATTAAGAATTAAGATCCTAAGGTCATAATCGTAATCAGTGCCTCAAAATTAGCTAAGTCTTATGCGCAAACCACCTGGTTTAAATGCATATTAACAATTTTACCAATTTTCCTTTAAAATCCCATTCATTTCTTATTCCCGGCTTGGGTTTATTGACCTCGACTACATGTATTTATAGCCCTATACCGAGAACACAGCCCGCCACGACTGCGGTCTAGCGTACAACATCCGGAGAATAAATAGGCCAACAGACTAGACGTGTCTTTTCCAGTCTGTGTTGACATACCGTACAAGACGGAAACTGCCCGACCGATTTTCTTCCTCCCGCTAAAAACTCGGGCTGTGTCCGCCTCAGTGGACACGTAGACTAAAAGTATCTAGTGTCAGTGAGGGCCAAAAAACACCTACATAAAACAATCCAGCTATGATTCGTCATCCACATGAGCAACTTTGAAGAAGGAATGCAGCAGTAAATGCTCCACCGGATTTTTGCTTGCTCTTCAAGGATTTTGAAATGAAATTGGGCAACAGGTAAAAACGCCGAGATTGATAAAAACCAAACCAAAGAATGAATTGCTTTACAGAATTTATTCATTTTTTTCTTATTATTCGGGCAATACAAAAACCAAAAAAAGTATACAGATACATTCCATGACCAAACACAAGACAAGAATTGACGTAAAAGTTGTAGTTTAATTTACTGAATCACCACACAACTCAAGGAGACCCAAACACATTCCTCACATAATCTCTTCCAAATATTTGTCCATAAGGCTCAGGAATATAAACAGTTCATTAACACAGAAGTCTATATAATATATCAATGTGTGCATTAAAAGTCTTCGAACCCTGATCTTATGAATGAACCCCTCGACACCTCATCATTCCTGACTTCCAACAGCTTGGACAAAAACGGGTAATGCCACAAGAGCTGTCTTGAACCACTGCCACAAGAGCTGTCTTGAACCACTGCCACAAGAGCTGTCTTGAACCACTAGCACAAGAGCTGTCTTGAACCACTGGCACAAGAGCTGTCTTGAACCACAGCCACAAGAGCTGTCTTGAACCACTGCCACACCACGCTACCCCAGAATTAAACACTTCTATCTGCTCTGTACCTAGTTTTAAGGAATTTGGCGTTTAAAAAAACTAAGTTTCACAACATGGTCAAGCCTTTTGGAATGCAGTTCTTTAAATATCTTGATAACGACTCCGAATAATCTTACAATTTTGATAGAGCAGACAGAACATTAGGCTTTTGACCTCACGGTCTACTAAGTAACTCAAAAGGGACAAAAATGTCAGTCAAAACTTTTGTAATTTTACGGTAGCGACTAGCTCAGCATTAGAGAATTCTTTCAAAAGATATGTAATTCCCATCAGAGTGAGGTAATTGCAGAACATATGTACGTGCATGTACATTAGAATACATACCACCTGTTCAGTGCAAGACTCCGCTATATGTCACTTTTCAAAACAGCTTACAGCCAAGTCTAACACTGAACAGACGATACGTGTGCGTGTACGTTAGAATATATGTGAGGCAGCGTGGTGGAATCAGGCTCTCGCCAAATTTTGGGCCTGTAGAGTTATTAGTATCATCTTAAAGCTTATTCACTTGTTTTTATTTGGATGAAAAAAGTATCCATTTATCTTGAATGCAAGTCGAGATATTTGCGAAAGAAGGAGGTGGGGGTCACCTGTTGTCAGAGGTAAAATAAGTGAGAAAAAGGCCGCAAAGATTAGTTATTTCCTAAGCTTAAGAGTCCGTGGTTACTGAAAATTTACATTTTTGTGCCTTTATTCAATGCTTTTCAGAAAAATTCACACAGAAATTAGTTCTGGGCATGAAAGGTGTTGAGCCAAAAAACAAAAATTTGATAAAGATTCACAAACCTGCGGAAAAATGCAAGTTACTTCACTTTGATTATTTGGACGAGAGCCTGATTCCACCACGATGCCTCACATATGCACAACACAAATACATATGTTAGAAGAGTGGCGGCGGGGGGTCTAGGCTGAGGCATTCTGAAGATGGCCCTGCACATCACACTGGCTAACCTTACACTAAAACCCATATGTGGTACATGCTATTTCATGTCACCAACAACCCAGAAAACAATCGCTCTGACGCTGAGGTGGGTGAAGAAACAAATAGTCCACGGTCAGAGACTATTACTTCCGTAGCTGAATGCAAGACTCGGACAAACATCATTTGGAAAAATGTTGTTGGTTGGAGTCTTTCATCCAGCCATCGGCTTGCTGACAAAGATGACAAAACAAGCTGTCTTATTGAAAACTGCAGACTCAAATTTGAAATTGAACAAAACATTCTGAGAAGTAACATTAACTAATACAGCAGCGCAAGAGGAGCATGCTGAAAGCAGTCCGAGCTCATTTAGTAACATTAAAATATTTCTTCAGGCACCTCCAAATAATACAAATAAAATGTGATTAGAATTCTTGCAACCGTATGAGAATACAGAAAGCTATATCATATTTTCTTGTGTAACTTTTCGTTGCTATGATTAACTTTTGGTCAAGTGGAATACTACTAGCAAAATATGACAAACACATAAACCCCAATTTCAGCATGAAATAAACACATAAACCCCAATTTCAGCATGAAATAAACATGAGGTGCTACATGATGCAATTTTCGGTGCTCAGGGAAAAGAAGGAAGGCAACAATAAAATACAAAGTAGAATTTATGACTCATGCACACCTCCATCTTCACATTGTAAGACCCACAAAACCAAGAACAAACTCATCTAAAAACAAGAACACAACAAGCATTAAAAAGCCCTCCTTTGAAGTATCTCCCTAACTTTAATACTTCAATAATAAACCCCACTCAAATAAAAATGCTGGTAGGATATATTGCACACTCAGAGTGGCCAGCCTTGAAAATAACGACAGAAACAGCTCTCTCTCTTTCTCTCTATCTCTCTCTCTCTCTCTCTCTCAATCCACATCTTCATCAAAAAAGCACACAACCTACACTTACACACTCCATCAACCACACACAACTCAACGAGGTAAAATAAGGACAACAGAGGAAATAAATAAATACAGTGGAGTCTGCTGAAACCGTTGGATTCTCTTCTGATTAATCGTGTTTTTGGTTGAGAGAGATTGCTGAAACAGTGACGAAAAAAATCGGAGACGAAAATATTTCGGTTTACCGCTGTTTTCGGATTGACAGTGTTCGGTTTGAGCGGACTCCACTGTACACTGGTGACAATACAAATTTGATAAAGTCTTTAAAAATCTTGATACAAGTTGTCTTCCCTTAAAATGTACAGAAAGAGAACACCCAATTCAAAAAGGTTTATACGAGATTACAGAAGTTCATATTCAGACTGAAGATCACAAAGACTAGACAGACTACAACTAGAAGTATACATATTATGTACTTGCTCTTAAAGAACACGCTTCAGAATTCTAGGTTTATACTGTATACATGTAAATATATCAATGATATGATTTTTAAAAACAATTTTTACAGGAGCCATTTTAAGCTGTACTAGTTAAGTAATCCCAATGCTTACAATTACCAATTAGATGTCATATAAATTTGCACAAAACAAAAATCAAACCCGATCTACACATTACAATATTGCGTTTCAGAAGTACAGTCGAACTTGCCCCGACAGCCACCTGCCTGAATGACCACTTCCCACGTTGCGTTTTCTAAACATTATAGTAACACGGTTCAGGAAGACAACCTGTCTCAGACAACCACTTTTCTCCTCGATCAGGGGTGGCTGTCTTGAATAATTTCGACGGTAAATCTTTTTTGTTTGGCACATCCTTTCATCATCACGTGACCTCAGTGCTTTCTTGTCCTATCTCCATTTTTCTTAACACTGAAGATGTGACTTCTTCTAAAGTTCACTCTTTGTAATGAACTGTTTTCACTGTTGTCAAAAATAAAGATACAAGAAAGCACTGAGGTCGCGATGAAGCAATAACTGAATCAGTCCTACATGACAGGAATCTGGGTATTTCTCAAAATCCATAAATAAAATCCTTCAAGATACAAACTTTAAAAATTGTGGTTAACAGAAAACAAAGGATCCTTTTCACCTCCACTCTTTGGAACAAATGAAATGAAATATAGCGTGGCAATTGACCTAACGAAAACCAAACCAATGCCACACAGAGAAGAAAAGTCTTGACTATGGCAGAACATTGCTAATTTCCCCGACTTATGCCCTTTAAACATTTCAAATTAAGAAGTCCCTCCTAACTCAGCAGCACAACTACAGAGGAGCATCAGAAATTAAGCCACAGGTATGTAATATCACATTTCATTTACCGTAAAGTTCAGGCCGTAAGTCCCAACTTTTTGCTTCAGTTTTAAACCCCGCAGCTTAAACTGTAACAACGGTGCGGCTTTTATTATATAATTATATACACCTAAAACAATTCAAAAGGTGATATATTTTCTTCAACCCCACACTTTAGCGTACGTGTAAGAAACATGGTCCTAAAGATGGACGGGTACTTTTCGAGACATATCCGTGTTGTATTATCTGCGGCAGCTTATAAACCACCATGGCTTACATGAGAAAAAATTCAGATTTTTTAAAAATTTAGTGTGTGTGGCTAAGTTATACAGGTGCGCTCAATAGCACAAACTTTACGGCATTTGAAGAAAAGGTTTTCACAGCCAGTGCATGTTAGAAACAAACAAAAAAATAGCAAAATCAAACGATAGTCTGCTCAATGAGTGAGGTGGTAACACATCAAACAACACAAGAAGACATTGATGCTTTTGGGCACACCTTCAAAACATACCATGCGTAACTTCTACAGATCTCCCCCCCCCCCCTAAAAGAAATGCCTTCCGCAAAAGAACTACATTACCTAAATTCATGGTTTCTTTCCCAGTTCCAGAAGTACCTGACTATAAATATCATCTGCCAGCTGGAAGGCACATCAGTAACTCATCTCTTAAGAGAAGTGTTTCTCTGCTTATTCTCCATCTCCAATATTTTTCAATGTTTCACAGTAGTCCTAAATGCTGTTAACAGCAAATAAAAATTAACTGTGACTTTAAAGAAACCCTTATTCTCTTTACGAATACACTTCCCATTGCTCTGTGCACAGTATTTCAGTACGTCATCACAATACGACAGAAATTGCTATACAAACTAACGCAGGGTCAGGCTTTGAAGATGTGCTCATAGTTGTGTTTCCTTTCACAAACACCGGTCACACAAGACGCAAGTCACACATTTGTCCCAGTCAGTCGAGGCAGTAGAACCCTGTACAAAAAACTACATTCAACACTGCCACTTTCATCCCACAAAAAAACCAAAAAAAAACAAAAGAAACAAGAGATAAACAGTGACAAAAAAACCCAAAGTATCAGAAGAAAAAAAACAACCCACGTCACAGGAGGACAACTCAGGAAGTAGATCAAGTCAACGGCAATAAAATTAAAATAAAGCACTCAAGACAACTGCTTGGTTTTGAAGAGGTAAGAAGAGGTGTGGGGGGTGGGGGGGGGGGTGGAAAGAGAAAACCATGATAGCACATGGAACGACTAGCAGTCAGCCAAACTGAATAAAAATCAAGACAAAAGTCTTTTGATGGCCTCTCAACTTGGGAACCTTTTCAATGACTGGATAAAATGTTCAATCACCACACAGCAAACATATTTCCCATGGCTCTGCGTCCCATGATCAGGTATTAAAAAGGAAAAAAAAAACCTTAAATAGTTCGCCTACCCTGCCACTGAGAAGTACCTCAGCAAAAACCTTCAGCGGAGGAACTGTCACAGGAAAGGAACATAGAGCAAGACTCTCCACCACCTAAAATATTTTCTTATTATATGCGCATTCCTCCCATTGCTCTTGAACAATATGCAAATTCAGAACACACGAAAGACAGAAGAAAAAAAACGCAACAAGTTATTTTAAAACAAATTCTCTTCCACTTCCAAACGAAAAAATGAGTCTTGACACACACACAACTCTTTATGTCTCTTCATTAATTAAAAACCCAAGACATTAATTAGCAAACTGAGATGATGACACGAAAAAACTTATTGGTTCTGATGAAAATTTCCCTCGTACAATAATATCGTCATTGTGAGAAAAGAAAACTGCATTTTAAGACTATTCATACTCACAAAAAAATTCAGTTAGACAAGCTTTCAAACCACTGTTCTTCAGAACTCAACACCAGATCGAAAGAAAAGAACAAGTTTAAGACAACAGTCAGTGCTTCACCCAACAACAAACAGACACAAGAACTCATAGCATCTCTCTATACCTATCGTCATTTGTGGCACAAACTTGATGACAAAAAAAACACCAAAAAAAAACAAAAAACCATTGCATACTTTAAAAACAAAAGCATACAAATGACAACACGTTGAAACAATGATCTGTCGTAAGCTAACAAAACGCCTTCTTACATTTTGGCGCCAAAAATTGTTTATTTGCTAAACTGAAAGCCTGATCAGTTACCCTACTACTACTACTTGTGGGAACAAATTAAAGTGAAACTGACTAGTTTTTCAATAAATTAGAAATTCATATTTCGGAATCACAGTATTTTAAAACGGCTACACTGACAATAAAACTCTTTCTTCTCGTTGAAACTGCTTAGAAGCAGAAAAAGGCATTTTGTCAGCTTACGGCAGTGTTGTTGTAGTAGAATAACCAACAAAATAAGGAAGCTTTAGTGAAGCAAATAATACCTCTCAGCTGAACAGGAGGAGAAACACAGGAGGGACCAGAACCACTTGACCGGTCAAGAGTCAAACTGTGCAGCAGCATTCGACTTGGGGGGGGGGGGTGATCTGGTCAGTTCTGTAACCACTTCACTTGCTTTCTACTCTACTTTTCCGATCCAGCAGCCATCTGGGTTATTATATCCCTTCGGTGTCAATTCTTACCGCCAGTCAAGCATTATAGGGGACAGGTCAGCTCATATTTATCGTAGGGAGCAAAAGTCGTGACATTCTAGGATGAGTACAGCTTGTATTACACCCCGACAGTGATGGGAAATGCGTCTACCAAAGGATGTTACACCTTAGTATCAAATCCTGAATTCTTCTACAGAACCATTGGGTTTTTATTTTTTAACCCTTCCAGCCCCAAGCGCGTATATTTTCAGCAGCGCTTGTACCTCCCTCCGTCCCAAGAGCGTATATTCTCAGTTTCGGGGGGTACCAAATTCGTGCATTTTTCTAAATTAGCGAACTTAATTAAACTTTAATTTTCTTATTACTTGTTCATTTACCTTTAAAAACTGGTATATGTTATTATCAAAGCTACATTACAAAGATACTACATCACATTTTAGAATGAATGCCTCTTTTTCTGAAATACTGCTGCATTGGCTGGGACTGGGGTTAGGGAGTGCACAAAAATGGCTGGGGCTGGAAGGGTTAAATTGAAGTTCTTTAGATTTACATCACTTCCAACAAACAACAGCTGAGTACTGGTACGTCAATTATTCAGTAAAACAAAAGAAAATTCCAAAACCAACAATCCATTTCAAAATTCAAAGCAATTTCAATGGAAAAAGAAAACAACTTTAGTTTCAAACCAATAGAGTTCTCAGCACTAAAAACAATACACGGAACTCATCTCAGAATATACAATCCTTGCTTAGCCCACACAAAGAGCTAGTTTAGTTCCCTTGAAGAAAAAACCCCCTTTCCAACACATTCAAGCAATTTCTAAGAAAGAAAGCTTTCCTAAAGTGCATTTTTCCCCACCAGAAAGATGGAAAAACGAGAACCACCTTGTCCCAAGATTTCACTGCCAGAACGCTGAGTAAAACATTGCTCAAACACTTTGGACTGGAGTCAAAACTTTTTATCAACCATATGATATATCATTGGAGAACAAAATTCTAGACTGGGCTTTTGAGCGGCTCATTCATTTTTACCATGCTTCCTAGTGGTGAAAAGATTTCACATTTCAACGCACACCTCAGAAATCAACAGCGAACAAAAGAATAAACAACAAAGTAAGAGAAGAAAAAAAAAAACTTTTGATGTAGACACAGCATTTTGATGAACCTTTGATGACTCTCACCTTAACATCCCCCCCCTCCCCCTCCTCCAAACAGTGCATTATGCGTGGTCAGAACATATTCTTCCAGCATTTTTGAAGTCCCCCTCTCAAAGAATTAATCGTTTTCCAAAACTTTAAGCGTTGAGTGAAATATGACATTGTCAAATAAACTCAGACAAAATAATACATTTTTCTCTCGACAAAAATGATGCAATACGTCCTTGGAGTAATGTTTTTAAATACATGAGATCACTTTCGTCATTGAAGCAGAAAGAGCAGCGTTTTCCTCCAGTAAATATATTTTCCCAACAGTGAAATATGCGATTGCCATTGCTTAGGTTGAAAGCAAAATTCAAGCCATGACGCCACTCAAAATTCATTAAAAAATTTCTTAACAGTTTTGGAAAATATACTTTCAAGTGCAGTACTGGAAATTTCCCAGAAAAGGTTGCGGCCAAACTGTTCTGAGGTTATTATTAGCTCAGCCAACAGCAATTTAAAAAGATTTATATAATAAAACAGAACACCCTTTTGTTAAGAGGAAACCATTGGCTACCAAAGTCACACCCAGTCCCACCCTTCAAAAACAGGGAAACCTCAGATAAAAATAAAAACTCATTAAATGAGTAGCGTACACATTGACACCTATAGTTTCAACTCTTTGAAGACGCGTCGGTGGAAAAAAATCTACCGCTGTTGCCGTGTCGACTTTAAACATGTATATTCGGTAAAGTAGTGGTCTAAGATGGACAACGCCTATATTATTGGAAAGCTCGTCCAAATCCTTATAATTTGGTAGATTCCTTTTATTTGCTTTCGAATTAGCATGGTGTTTGTTTTCGGCCCATAGTTTCACACAAAATGTCAGTTTCTATCCAAAATGGTGAGCTCCAGGCGACGTAGTTTGATGCAGACTGAAGAAGCTTTGGAGTTGTTTATGGATGATGACAGTGATGAGGAGTTAGATTTAAAGTTAGAAGAAGAAAGTTCAGATGATAATGATGATGAATCTGTTCCATTGGTTGGTAGATCTACCTAACCCCCCAAAGTCTCATCTTGTCAAAAAAGTTTTTCTTTTGAGGGCAACTATAGTGATCTTGCAGCCTTGATCAAAGTAAGACTGGTATTGTGAATATATGAATGATTGGTATTAGAGAAAAATAGAGAAATTGTACTTTTGAGTGTTGTAAGTGTGATCTTTGTACTATTAATAGGAAAAAAATGGTGACCTGGTAAAAAACGGCAAAGAAAATGCGTTACAGGGTATCGAAAAAGAGAAAGTGAGTGTGTCTTCAAGGAGTTTCTTTTAAAAAGGCAAAATGTTTCCCCCAAAAACGCATGGAAACAAAGCACACTAAGATAGCCTTGTTAGAAAATTGCGCAGAAATGTCATAACAGACATTAGTCACTACAATACTAAAACATTCTTTAAAAGGAATCCATGTCGGCCACTTCCACTTCGTGTCAGTAAAAAAAGAGAGAAAGACAGACAGAAGCAATAAAGTGAAAGAAGAAGAGTAGAACCTACTAGAGGCACCCTACCAAAAGACATATTAGATGAACACAGGTGAATAATATGGAAAACAGGAACGGAATTTCGGAGTGGCGGGGAGTGGGTGAGGGGGAGAGGGTGGAAGAGTATAAAAGTAGACTGAGTTTTTGTGTATGTACTGGCATATATATATTGACCGTTACGTATACGACTCCGCCATACGTCACTTTTCAAGATGAAGTATGGTGGAGACTTACAGGAAGCAGCCGATATATGAATATACATATATACACATGCTATAGTTTGTTATCTAAGCAAATGAAAGACAATCCAAATTTTTCTTTATCAAACAAGAAAGTAGTTGTAGACTCCTCAGCTCGCATTCTGCACACCTTTCTGAAGTAACTCGGATATCGTCACATGCATACAATAAATGTACTCATTTTCATTAATTTTTTGAATAAACTGGACATTTAAAAATCTCAGCGTACACAATGTTTCTGAATGTTAGGGCAGAGTCAACTTCTATAACAATCTGTCCATTTTTTTTGTCCTGGGAAAGACAAGAACAAAAAAAGAAATTTAGTAATAAATAAATCTAACTATGAGCATTTTAAAGATTGCTTTATGTACTAGTATTTATTGCATGCACCTGACGATATCTCAAGCTAGTGCTATGAAAACCCGGACTCCCACAACGCCACCGGGTACACGGAATCAAACCGATATGCCAGGGAAAGATGTTCACTATCTTTATCGTCGTCGTCATCGTCGTCTCTTTCGACGTCTGTAAAGCCCTCGTCGGCATCGTCCATCAAACGACAGTTTTCATCGGCACTCTCCGTTTCCTCGCCACTCTCCGCCGCGTGTACGACAGCACTTCTTTCCTCATTGTCTTTGACTGGAAAACCCGTAGCAGAACTATAGAACTGATGGTCAGATGTTGGGGAATGTGCAAGTGGATCGGTGCTAGAGCGCGCCGCTAGTCCCTCAATGTGTTCCTCCTCCTCGGCCCACTCCTCGCCCCAGGCGAGCCATCCGAAAACAAAAAACCAAAACTGCAAATAGAAAAAAAGGTTTAAAAAAAAATGAATTATAAAACCTCTGTGTCAAACAGATGAAGTAATGCTTACATAAATTTAGTACATGCCATCTTTGGCTAAAAAAAGTGGGGTGGGTGGGGGGAGGGGGTGGGAGGGGGAATCAGAACAAGAAGTGGGTCCCTTTGGACAGGGATACAACAACCCATATTATTTTCCACAACTGTCTAAAGTTTCAAGTAACAACAGTTTTATTAAAGACGGCTCAGTGACAGTCTCCAATAATTCAAAGACTTCCTCCTGAGCACTTTAATCTCCCATAGAAAAGCCTACAGACATTTTCAACGCAAATAAAAGTTATCTAAATAAAATATGTGAATATTTATAGCATCTCAAGGTTCATGCATTGGTCATTCATTTACTTTCCAGGAAAAAAAAAGAAGTGAAGACTTAAAAGTCTCACTTTACGTCATTCTCAAATTTCTGATATATCTTAGAGGCAGATCAAATTTAACCATAATGATTCACTTAAAAACGTGATAATTTTAACTAAAATGATTATTAATTAACGAGAGAAACTTCCCCTGTTCAGTGCGATAACTAGTCGGGACTAATATTCAACAGCAGCAACAACAAGCACACAAACACACCAAGTGAGGAGGAGACTCAAGCTGTGGGAGGGGAGACCGTAGGAAAACAAAACGAAAAGCTGACAGATGAACTCAAAAGAAAGAAACAGTCTCTCGAAAGTAAACACTACAATACCTACGGTGCTCATTCAAACTGAAAACTCAAAAGTTGCTACTGGAAATAAAATTTAAAAAATTTTTTTAAAAATAACAAACCAAAGGAAAACATCCATACGGTTTTATTTGTTTGACTAAAAGTGAAGAAAGAAAATAAAGGCACACTACACGATGCTGAACAGTCCATCCTGTCACTAGTTTTCAAAAACTGTACTACTAGCCTAGTGTACTTGTAAAGTAGCACCATTTTACTTCAACATATGTTAAGTCTTAAGTTTCCCCCAAATGCACTGCTGCATTTTGGAGCAGAGATGTGGACTACCGTCGGAGCAAAGTCAGTTTTGTTGGTTAAAGACCAGGTTAAAGACCAGATGTTGTCTCCTCCCTAGTCTTTTTGTTTTAAAACAAAATTTGACCAAACTGCTCAAGTCATTATGCCTGCCTACAGTAGTCAGCTTAACTCAGTTCAGCAACGGTAACAGCTCCCTAAAAACTAACAACTATCCATATGATATTTAAAAGTACAGTAGTCTCCGCCTAAACGCACGGTGCTCGGGAGGGCTCTTCAGCCTGTGTTTATACGGAGCGTGCGTTTACATGAACCTTTGCAAGGGGAGAAAGGGACGCAGTCATTTCATTGCCTTGATATTCTAGTGACCTCCCTTTGGGGTGAGCGTCAATTTTTGCCGATAATGTGACGACACGTGACTGTTTTGTGAAGGATTCCCTGACTGTGGTTATGACTACAAAGGCGTTGAATGGGGGGGTAGAAAGACAGCCTCAATGTAACTTAATGTAATGAATATGCACTATAAACGTCGGGAACAGCTAAGAGGAAACTGTTGGAGATAGTCATAGATCTAGTCATAGAGACGACGGCGCGGCCACGTGGCTTTCCAAGCAACCACCCCCTGACCGTAAATTCACGGACGACATCAGAATCATAGATCTCTACATTCAGGGAAACATTTCTCTTGTGTTTCGTTGAACAAGTACGTTATAAGAATATATATAAGGTCTTCGAGCACAACTGATTAGGCTTACATGGCTAATCTTAAACCCTATTGAGGCCTTTCTGGTGTTTTACTGCATTCACGCGTGTTGCACATCAGGCCTAGGTTTAACTAAACATTACACGCAGTCACCCAAACACCAGTCAGAAACCTTCTCTCAAAGATGCATTTCCAGTGACCAATCAAAAAACAGTTCAGTCCCCCAACCGCCCCCCCCCCCCCTCCCCGACCAGCCCTAGACTGATAACCAGACCAATGTGTCTGTGGAAAGTTGGGTGTGAAAACGTTGTCCATCACTCTCTTTGTTCCGTGTGAGGGGCACTCTTACCCGGTTTTCTTAGCTTGTCTATGCAAGCTGTGCAGGTTGTAGTGAAAATTTTCCCTTGTCAAGCTTAACCTGTCGGCGTATTTCGCGGATCGGAGCGTGCGTTTAGAGGGAGTGACCGTGCGTTTGTACGTCTAAATTATATAGCTAAAAACCCGTCAGATGACGAAAGCGAGCGTTTGAGCGGAGCGTGCTTTTGCATGGCGTGCGTTTAGGCGGAGACTACTGTATAACGAACATTACAAATGAATAGCACAAGTTTCATGGGTAAACATTAAACAAAGCTAGAATACTGCACAGCATGTACATAAATTTGAATTCTCTTGATAAACATAATGCAGGTTAGAGAAAAATCAAATCAAAGGAACTGGCTGACTTGCAAAACTAGGAGACAACTGTTTCTATAATCCCAACTTTTGTGATGGATGATCCATGAACTCATCCAAAAATCCATGTCTCCACATTACGAAGTCTTCAAGAAAAAGGACCAAGACCGACCGCAAATATTTTCCAACTTGCAATACTATAAAACATAAAAAGTCAGCTCACAATCATACTTTCAGAATTAGAAAATGCTGATGTGTGCCAAAAAATATCCCATCCAACTGACAAAACAAATGAAGGAAAGGGTATTTCAGACATATACATAAAAGCCGGTTAGAACGTCTGAATCCGTCAGCGTGCAGACGACCAAGCAAAATATACACCAGTTTGCAAAGGCATATACTGAGGAGATCAGTGGAATATTTTTTATATATATAATGCATCCAGTGCAAAGAAAGAGGAAAACTTCATTTACAAATATGTTGATCAGACCTTTGATAAAAGTAAATGATAGAAAAACAAACAAACAACTGTCGTATCAAAATGAAATTTTACATTCAGGTCCGAATTTGCAACTGTTCTGGATTTACTTTACGCAGCACAACACAAGCGGATAAAACCAATGGCCCCATGATAAATTAACACCTCTCTACTTCCCAGGCCAACTTTTCCGGATCAACAACTGTGAGAACAGCTATGATGAAGTGAAGCAATTGTTGAGGTGTAAAAAGACCATGGCACGTACAGAACTACAGAACTACGACTCAAAAATCAAAACAAAAAAGATAAGAGTGAAAAACTGATCCAACAAATAACTCACTGAGACCTTTCCAACCACACAAAGCCAACAAATTTCACTACTGTATGCACTGTACCGGCCAGAACTGACCAGTAGTTTTTGCAACTTTTTACAAAATGGAAGTAAGAAAATGGAAATGACCAAATGAGCCATTTCTTCACCCGCGTACTGAAAGAAATTTCAGGTACCAAAGAAGGAAAAAAACAAATAATTCTACTTATCTAACACCTTTAACCTCATATCTTTAAAAGAGCACTGCTTGGTGATATAATGTCAGAGTGATTTGTGGGGGCCATTTACATCTAGAAACAAATAAGAATCCTTTCTGCTTCAACTTTATTTGAGAATTCAAAGTACCTTCCTAAGCTAAACATCTCAAAATGCAGCGGCTAGGGTGCAAATTGGAAATCGGAGCATGTGGTCTCAACGAGATAACGAAAGAACAAATTTACTGGTGCATATGAGACAGATCCAGCAACCCAAAATCTCAACCAATAAAGGTGACGAGAATGTCTCGGAGACAAATAAGACAAGCTGTGTAACAAGCCAATCTGATTATACTTAAAGGTGGAGTCAAGGTTTTCTTTCACCTCTGAAGCTACAATCTAATATTCTATTTTTTTTCCTCAGACACCCCAGTGCAAAAAAAAGTAACATTGTTACAACTGCCCGACAAACATTGAGGGGCTACATTCTTTTCCATGAAGCATAAAAGAAAAAGATGCTTTATTACTGAGTTCTTCAAATACTATTCTTAAAGATAGGGAAAATACAAAACAAACTGAACAGTGCAGAACAATGCATGATCAACAGAAAAACAAAAAAACAAACAAAGGAACCGCAGAATAAAGAGAAAAATAAACAAGGAATTAAAAAAAAACCCAACAACCCCCCCCCCAGACATAACAAAATCAATGAGTGTAAAAATAAATATCCCCAAAGCATTAATCTTTGCCAACTTCAACGCTTAAGTTCCTTTCTGCAGAATCTCAATTTTTTAGTGCCCTTTCAGTACGATAAAACTGGAGAAAAAAAATATTTCAGTTCCCAGAACTCATAAGCTTTTTAAATTGAACATTTGAAGCGTTTCATGGCAAGATGCATGCAATGTACAGTATTAAAATTCCTTGAAACCGAGAAAAATGGGAAAATGTTACCCCTGGGGATGTTTATCATTTTTTTTTTTTTGCTCGGGTGAAACATGACACCCCATAGAGGTGATCGTGCCCTCCAAGAGGAAAGGTAGGCCCTACAGAGGACACATTAGAAACAAACGTTTATTTTTAAAAATGTGAACTCATTAAATTGTTTTAGCAAAAACACCGGATATCCACTGCCAAAAATTTTTTTTCAAAAGGCCGTATTCAACAAAAATGACAAAAAACAACAACCCCGATATAACCTCATCATTGTGACTATTTTAAAAAAAAGGTCTTTGGTGCAAGTTAAAAATAGCAATATTTTGGGAAGTAAAACATCTACGATTCAGTATCAAAGACTATTTCAGGGTTTACAACGTAGGATGGGGGCAAGATGAAACACTTTCCCATTTTTTTCAAATTCGTAAAAATCGATAAAAACAAACAAAACTAATTATAAAAGTTAAGAACTTGAAATTCTCAAATAAACCTTTTCTTTTTTTTTTGTTTGTCCTGAGTCCTGATTGGTTGCCAATTAGTAGGTTGTGTACAAAAAAAGGTGTCAACAATGGTAGAACTCAACTATATCTTGTAATCACTTTCTACGTCTATCTGTATCTTGAATCTTAAGAAGATCAGCACTTCACCAATACAGTCAGCTACCAGACTGAT